GGAAGGATGGCTACACTAAAAACAGAGTAGTAGCACCAAAATGCCGCTCTTCTTTAGCAATTTTTGCTCGGATCAAGTCAGAAGCTGCTTCCTTCGAATGATTCCATAAACTCAAAAAAAAGAGTGTTCGCGACTATTTCTTTTTATAGTTTCACTGTTGATGTTACTTCTTTGAAAATAGGAAGCAACCTCACTTAATTTTTCACTAACTGCATCGTCTAGGTCGAAGAGGTCTGCAAATTTGTCTAACTCCTCGATGGTATGGTCAAATGCAAATTCAACCAGCTCAAGTGGGACAAAACTTAACGCCGGAGTAATGCCATAGACGCAGGGTGGGTAAAAGCCGTTTCTAAATGAACGTATACAGTTGGTAAATCTGCATCGGAAAAAATTTAAATGATCGATCGCAAAGCCAGATGTCTGTTTTTAGTTGGAGGGCTTTTACAATGACGCGGTCGCCAAAAGTAATGACCCGCTCAGTATCGTTAATCCAGCTATCAAATAAACAAAAAATTTTGTATTGCTTAGGAAGTTTGAAATAATTGTCAAACATTGGCGAGGCAAAAGGCCTGTCAAATGTTTTCTGTCGATTGAGCGCCTTGTTAATGCCAGAGCGCGATGGTAAAGCCAGTTAGCCGGCTTTCTCATGGGACACTGCTTGAAGACAAGTTTACCTAAGTTGCAATATTGCTGCTGTTGACGGGTACCAGCTGAGTTTGGGTATTTTGCTATATTTGTTGCACTATCATTCTGGCGTCTGACCGGCCATGGAATATCTCGTGACTGTCGTCGTTCCATGAAGACTTCAGATTTTTCCCTGAGTGATTGCAGTCAGCTTGTTGCCATTCTCTACTTTTTGCTTTTTCGTGCATTCGTGAACAACCATTGTTTAGCGTTCTGCGGCTTAGCTGTGTTAATCCCCACGTAAGTTGGCATCATGTGTTTTGTTTGCAATAATTAAAATGGTAAATGATCCAATCCTTTTTTTCAATCCTATTTCTGTTACTGTTATTGGAAATCAAAAACTGCTATGTGTGTTAAATGCTACGTTTTTGGTCACAATTTTTTATCGGTTCCATAAAAAGCTCGGTTTATTAACCGAGACAATTTTTGAGTCTATAAGTTAGAACTCAATTGAGTTAACATTTCTATACAGGTCCCTAACAGCTAGTGTGATAAAGGACAAAAACAGAATTCCATTGTCATATGGCATAAGAAATATTGGCGTAGGTTGAATTGGTTTAAAGGATAAAGTGGTATAGTGAAAAACGACATAGGGTAAACTGGAATAGGGTAAGCTGTCGTGCTACCAAAATTTACTTGAGCTGATCTACTTCTGTGTTTCTGCCATCATTTTGATCTTCATACCAATATCATTCAGTAAAACAACTAATAATTTTGATGGTTGGGCAAGAATATTCTTTACAGTCAAAAATTTTTTCGTTTCTTTTTCTCAGCCGGGCTAGCTGTGTTGAGGTTATTTTCCACCAGTGGCTCTCTTTGTAGAGACATCGAGTTGTTCTTGGTTGACCTATCATCTTTCAGTGCTTATAGTTCGTTTTTTGTTTTTCTTTGACGCTAAAATTTTTTTTGTACTTCTTTATTTTTCCATGTTTTCACGAGTGAAATTTTCTACGACAAAAAGTGGAAAATATATTTATTCCTGAATGTTGGTTTTATAAGTTTTCACACAATTATTTTATTTTATTGCTTTTTTGACATTTTTTACCTCGAAAAAATTTCAATATTTGGAGCGCAAGATTTATTCTTTTGTTCTGACCACTTAAAAAATGATAAGAAACTTTGTATTCCGGTAAGTTTTAGTGTTTTTCCACGCAAAATCGGGCAAAATAAGGCAATGTTCATTCCAGTGCTTTAACCAGAGTCAAGAAAAACCGGTTTGAAATTTTTGGTTTTTCGCAATATTTCGAGCGAAATAAGGCTTACATCAGCCTAACTATGACTTATTTAAGGCCTGCAAACTTAGCTTTAAGCAAATAAAGTTGGTTTTTTTTCGAGACTTTAGGAACTGAAAATTTCAGTAAGGTTCAAAAGTTTTCTGCTTAATTTTTTTTTCGATTTTTTTGTTCTTTTAGTCAATTTTCTTCTGTTACTGTTATTGGAAATCAAAAACTGCTATGTGTGTTAAATGCTACGTTTTTGGTCACAATTTTTTATCGGTTCCATAAAAAGCTCGGTTTATTAACCGAGACAATTTTTGAGTCTATAAGTTAGAACTCAATTGAGTTAACATTTCTATACAGGTCCCTAACAGCTAGTGTGATAAAGGACAAAAACAGAATTCCATTGTCATATGGCATAAGAAATATTGACGTAGGTTGAATTGGTTTAAAGGATAAAATGGTATAGTGAAAAACGACATAGGGTAAACTGGAATAGGGTAAGCTGTCGTGCTACCAAAATTTACTTGAGCTGATCTACTTCTGTGTTTCTGCCATCATTTTGATCTTCATACCAACATCATTCAGTAAAACAACTAATAATTTTGATGGTTGGGCAAGAATATTCTTTACAGTCAAAAATTTTTTCGTTTCTTTTTCTCAGCCGGGCTAGCTGTGTTGAGGTTATTTTCCACCAGTGGCTCTCTTTGTAGAGACATCGAGTTGTTCTTGGTTGACCTATCATCTTTCAGTGCTTATAGTTCGTTTTTTGTTTTTCTTTGACGCTAAAATTTTTTTTGTACTTCTTTATTTTTCCATGTTTTCACGAGTGAAATTTTCTACGACAAAAAGTGGAAAATATATTTATTCCTGAATGTTGGTTTTATAAGTTTTCACACAATTATTTTATTTTATTGCTTTTTTGACATTTTTTACCTCGAAAAAATTTCAATATTTGGAGCGCAAGATTTATTCTTTTGTTCTGACCACTTAAAAAATGATAAGAAACTTTGTACTCGGGTAAGTTTTAGTGTTTTTCCACGCTAAATCGGGCAAAATAAGGCAATGTTCATTCCAGTGCTTTAACCAGAGTCAAGAAAAACCGGTTTGAAATTTTTGGTTTTTCGCAATATTTCGAGCGAAATAAGGCTTACATCAGCCTAACTATGACTTATTTAAGGCCTGCAAACTTAGCTTTAAGCAAATAAAGTTGGTTTTTTTTCGAGACTTTAGGAACTGAAAATTTCAGTAAGGTTCAAAAGTTTTCTGCTTAATTTTTTTTTCGATTTTTTTGTTCTTTTAGTCAATTTTCTGAAAAAGCTTTGTCCAATTGGCCTATTTTACGATGAAAAACATGCCTAAATTATAGTTTTATGTCAGATCCCTTAATCACATCACGCAGGAAAAAGTACACTAATTTGCGAAAAAAAAAGTAAAGACAAGGTTTCGATTAACAAACCACAGATTCACCGATGGATTTTGCGATAGATATGAGTATGCGGATTCAATTTTTATGTTCAGTTTCAATGTTTGAATTAGGAATCACTGACTTTTTTTGGCTAAAAGTTTGTAACTAAACAAAAAATGGAATATAAAAAATGATCTGTAAAAGAAGCAAGTTTTAATGTTTTTTGAGTCACGAAAATATTCTAGTCCTAACACTACGGTTCCTTTTAAAACTTGTTTTCCATAGAGTCAAGTATTTTTTCGTTGCCAAAACTATAAACGGAGTCTCAGAAGTATAAACGGTCATAGTATAAACGGAGTCTCTGAAACGGAGTCTCAGAAGTTTGTAGTCATTGGCAACCTGTGTATGTTGAGTTACCGGTGGTAGCCAACAAGCCGAAGGGCCAAAAAACCGAAATTAGGATTACCATTCCAACAAACCGAAAAGAAGTATTGTTATGTAACATAACAAAAGATAGTCATTGTTGTTATCCAATTTTCACATAATTATGTTGTATTTTTGGCTTCAAGATATGGCGGTGTGCAGACATGGCGGTTTGTTGATGATCCGGCGAGTTACCATTATTTGTAGCAGGCCAGGCTTTCAGCCACATACGTATTCCAGCACAGACAACCACGACAGCACAGTCACGCAGCTAGACACCAAAAACAAACAGCACGCAGAAGATGACCAAAACTAACGGCCAAAGTCTTATAAGATAAAACGCAAAGTAGTTACTTTTTGGCATAACGCTTGGTTCCATATTTTCGTAGATCATGTCTAAGCCTTTTGCATGAGTTCTGATATATTTTGACTTTGTCATCCATCATGTTTTGACCAACCAATCTGTTTGAATGACTTTTGAGTGTGTTAAATTCTCAGTTTTCTTAGATTTCAACTATCTATGTTTTAAGCTATGAGTTTTTATTCAGCTTTTTTCGACTTAGGACTGGACTATATTGCGACTTTGTTTTTAACAAACGCTTTGGCTTGGCACTTCACTGACGGACTGTTTCCGAATATGAATTTTGGATCAAACACTGTCCGTGAATTGTCTCTGTCGGTCAAAAAATTAAAACGAATACTTGGGCTCGCACGGGAAATTGAAAGCTGTTTTTAATACAGTTGTTTTGTAATCTGGAACCTAATCTGGTCAGTTATTTTGTTTTCATAAACCGATAAACCATTTCATCCTTATGCAATGCTGACGTCTATCCTTAAGTATAAATTAAAAAGTCATTTTTATGACCGTTCAAATCCTATGATTAACAATATAATCTTTTAAAACAAACCAGCCGCCTAATCAGACGGATTTAAACAATGAGAAAGATTAACAATTACGTAATCATATGAAAAAACGCATTCATTCCCTCAATTATTAATATAGCTTACAGCAAATTGCCTTTTTATAAGACTTTTCTGTTGTTGTCTTGGTAAAAAGATTTTGGGCATTCCCATAAAAAGCTTTTCCTTCATTTTGGTTTTCGTTGAATGATATCTAAAAACTGTCTACTTTACTGGACTTCTGGCGTCTCAATTGAAAATATAGGCGTCAACGATGAAACGTTTGATTTCAATCATCAAAAAATTTTAGAACAAAAGATCCGGTTTTAAATATCTTCAAATGGCACCATTTATTTACCAGTTGGGTGCACAAAAATAAATAGAAACAAACAAAAAATAATCAGCCTACTAATAATCTCCTCATAAATCAGCATCAATCACGGGGTGATTAAAAACTCAGCTGTTTTTTGCATTACCATCGATTTCATTTTACAATTTGAAATAAATCTGCCTGTTTTTCTGTTATTTCTCCCATTTATCAGCTTAGCTCAAAAGCGGCGTCCAATTTGCTCAACTGAAAGGATAATTCAGACCCTTCAAACAAAAAACGAATGAGGCACAACTGCGCTTTTTAACGAAATCACAATTCTTTTTTTTTGGGTTTCCGTAATTCTATTGGCTGGTTCAACTTGAAAAATACTGAACATATTTCAAGTGGCGATCTTAGATTAATTTCCTTACTGAGTCGCCCAGGTAACAACAAACAGCTTTGTCAAATTGTTTGGCAAATTGAAAAATATAATTATCTTTAACTTTTTCATACCAATCGCAAGTCGAGCGGGTTTTGTTTTGTTTTATGGTTTATCGGCATCCTTTTCTGAATTGAAATGACAAGTAACAATATGAAGACAATCATAATTTCCTTCGGTTTGGTTCTCTACTCCTTCTGCCCCGCCCAATCCTACAATGTTTACGATGACCCGGGTGAGTTTCCAACAGCCATCTTTTAATTAACGTTTTTTGGGGATTTTTTTGCGACCAGATTACCAACTGGTACACGTTTAGAAGTATGGACCGATTGAAACCCTCGTTTAGATGTATGGTTCTCAATTTTTGCGGTCCTAAATAAAAACCTTATAAACATAAAAATTAATGTATATAGATAAGTTTTATTATTTAAATAAAACAAGGATACTCGGTTACTCTGCAAGTAGCACAGAATGTTCCGACCATAGTCTTACAAAAATACAACTAAAAAATTTTTTTTTCAGAGTAGTGTCGTTTTTTTTCTGCGTGGTGTGATAAAAAATCTGAAGAAAAACATTCGACGGTAAATTCATCAATTTGGTAAACAATTTTCACGCCTTCATTTAGGCTTTTTTAAGGTTTTTTAGTTCTAAAATAAGCTATTGTAACCATGCTAGTGCGCTTTAACCGCTCAGAAGTGGACGAAAAAGCAAAATTTTAAACTGGTATTCCTCGACACTTGAAAATATTTCGGAAAATTTTTAATATTATTCGAATCACAACTGAAAACGTTTTAAAATGATATATCATTTAGCTCACTCCGATGATTTTGGGTGGAAAACAGAAAAAAAGGAAAAACAACTAAAACACACCCGCATACAAATTTCTCCCCATTTTTCAAATGGTCGGAACAATAATTAGAAATAATTTGAAATAAGTTAGTCAACGCCAGTTCTTTTTGAGTTTTTGCCGTTCTAAATTATGAAGAAATGCTGCCATCAAATGAATTTTACTGGCAAAAATTGTAAACTAATTTTTTGTTAGTAGTTTTTCCTTCAAAACTGACAACTCTGTTTTGATTATTACTTTAGTAAATTTAACTAAATAAACAATAGTTAATTTTATGTTTATGTTCACTCTAAGTAATGCAAGTAGACTTTAAGTGGTCTAGCAAGACTCAATTTTCGAAAAAAAAGTTTGAATGGGATTCATTTTAAGAAGACATTTATACAACGAATATACTTTTTTAAGCAGTATAAGAGCTATAATGCCTATTTCTTCGAAACTTAAAAAGAACGCAAAAAAATGACAAATCAGAAAAAAATACATATTTTTTATAACAACTCTTCATAATCGGATAATTTTGTGCTTTTCGCACGGTGATCAAATAGATAAAAACAAGACAATTAGATAATACGAAATTTAGTATGTAGATTTAAGACAATCCCGATTTGCCAAGCAAGTATGAAACTATCCATTTCATGTATTTAATCAAAATTAGCAAAGACTTCCGATAAGCAGGGATTTTTTAGAGTGTCCATTATTGCAAAAAAAGATTTTTTTTGGAGTTTTTTTTCAAATTAAACTATTCGATACTAGTAAAATTAGGACTTTTAAGACCCCTCGACCGCTCTAACTGCCCCTTAACGTTAATGAGTATTGCTTGTTTTTCAAAACTTACATAAATTTTCACAAGAATTTGAAAAAATCGTTTTTGATTTTAGTTTGAAATCATCTCCCACACGCTTTTTAAATTACACATGACAAATCTAGCTTATAATAAAAGATTAGTTAGAACAGCTAACATAACTCAAATTAAATTGGAACATTTTCTAATCCATTTTAAATCACCGCATACGCGTAAATAGCACAAATTTGGTCAAATTCGCGGCCTTCAAAATCTTTTATTTCGCAAAAAAGGATGATAAGCACAATTTTTTCTTAATTTTGTGCTGTGGGAATCAAAAATTTCAGATGATAGAAGCAAGAAATTTATAAAATATATCTCGAGTAAAAAAATTAAAACAATCAAAAAAATATATCAAAATTCAGAACGCCATACCTACAAAACCCTTGAAAAACTAGAGGCTCACTTAATTTTCTTTAAAATGATGTTGGGTTTGGTCGCAATAAGGATTACTGTTCAACAATTTCTATAATTTTATTCCTTTATATGCAAAAGCTCAGAAATCTAAAAGCGGCTTTTGAATCAAAACATTTTCTAATGATTCAAACTATGGGTTTATATTTTTCTGAGAGAAAACTTCTAATTTCTTCGTTTACATTAACTTAATTTTTTACAAAAATTGATTAATTTTCCAGAAATTCAAAATATAAAGTATAATAAAAATTTCAAGAAATTGTTTCACTAATTTGAAAATCTTTCAATAAATTTTTTAATGCGGTTGCTTTGAAAGTGGCTCCTAATTGAAGGAAACGAATCAAAGTTAGATAGAGATCAAAGAAAAAAAATTAAGGCTTCTTAGAAATCAAATCCAAATGCAAGTCTTTGCAAAATAAAAATAATGTGACTATTTTGATAGTTTTTTGAAGCTCAGTCAGAAAATTGTAGTAGGGTTTTTCCAATGTTGCTGATTTAACTACAAGCTTGTTGTTGACCAAAATAGAACGCAAATGTTTTATACGCTTGTAACCAAATGTTATCGTACAAAAATTAGGAGTCGTCGAATGTTACAATCTGTTGCCTACTACAATACGCCATAACTTTTCACCTCACACTTTTTTAGTTTATTTATGAAAACTAGATGCCATACCTACTTGTTTTGATCTTTATTTTGTTGCAAAATTACCAAAAAACCGTCAGAGTTTTTTTTTTTAATTTTTCTTCTTTCTTGAAGATATGTTCTTTCACGACAAGGCAAATGAAAAATGAAATATTAGAACGCATGAATGAAAAAAAATCAGTTGCATAGTTTTGCGCACTTTTCCGGGTTCCTTCACAGTTTTTCGGGCTCTTTCACAATTTTCCGGCATCTTTCCCTCAGAAAAAAAAACAAAAACATACTCTTCAACAGTTAGAACATAGCTGAAGATGGCCTCGGCCAAAAGAGCCGGACATATTTCAACTATATTCTAACTACTACATAATTCCAAACAGCTCGTCTCAAAATAACCGGAAATGATTTTTTTAGCCAGACTAAATCACTGATCATGCGTTAAGCGAACGATATATATCGCTCATTGATTGTCTTATTATAGCCACATCGGCGACTTTCTAATTGCCATAGCTTTTCAAAAAATGATCACATGCAAATTAATTTTTTTCTGACTTGATACTTTTCAGATGGTATACAAATAACCTCCATACGTGCTTAGCAAAAAGCGTCAATAACTGTCAAAAAAGCCCCAACAAGCCCAAATATTCCATCTGATCTTCAAAAATCTGATCGGAACAAAAAATCACGTATCTGAAGTTTTTCAAAACTCACCCACACCCATTTCGTGATTTTCTCCTTTGAATCTCTAGATACTATTTGGCTAATATGTTTTTTGATCTGTCTGGTGTAACGGATGCCCATCTTAATTATTTGACAAGGTTTCGTTTCGTAGTTGTCGTAACATACTATAAATTTCCCCGCCCAAGTTAGAAAAAATTACTTTTTTCTAGGTTTCAAATCAAATTCAGTCCAAAGCACTAAAGTTTCAACGCTCGTTTTAATTCCACCAATCTTTTGAACTATCAAAGCATAAAGATATGACTTTGTAAGCCAAATTGGCTTTATGGCTAAATAATATGACTCTTGGTGGATCAAAAAAAGTTTTAGTTTTCTTGAAGATATCAGTTTGAATGTCAAATTGATCGGTACTCTGGGAAATTTCGTCTATGACAAGAGTAAACGCATAATCGACGTCTGAGAGAGGAACGAAGCTTGAAACTGGGATCAATTTTACGGTTAAGGTCAGCTTACATTGTTTTCAATAGTTTTTTCAGACCTTACTCTGAAAGCTTGTGATGGAAGCTTTGGTACAAATGAATTAAGCAACCTTTGATTCAGTTTTATATAGAGACGAAATTGTATTCAAGGCAGCTTGTTCGAACTCAAAAAAAGTTTTTTTTGGGTATGACGTCTCCAATAAGGCTAATCAGGGCTTCAAGAAATCTGTTGTGAGTGGACTCTTTTTTGTTGCTAAGCAAAACGTAAACGCAGGGAGGATAAAAACCGCCAACCTGGATATGTACTGTGTACAATTGATAAAACTGAGACGTGCATATCTTAAAAGTTCTATCACAAAGCCAAAGATTGATATGAAAGCGCATTTAAGTTTTCCATGTCACCGAGAATAAGGAATCGCTCACTGTCTTGTTTGTGAAGGGGTTCATGTCAGGGCTGTAGGTGAAGGAAGTGAAAACCGGATTATAGTTTACAGTCTTGAGGCTAGCTGCTCTCGATTGGTTGTTAGCTTGATTCATTTGCGATTTTGCTGACTAACTAGCTGCCTTGCTTCTACGCGACCGGGGTTAAACTCATAGCTGTGCTCGTGATTGAACGAAATAATGGTTTCATCGCAAATTATGAGAGTCATTGGGCATTTATGTGAACGCCATTTTGCACAACGCCAGTGGGTGGTAGATTTGGTGTCTCGCTTTTTAGTGAACTCGTGTTCGACCAAGATAAGCAACGCTTTGCCTTGTTGAGTTTTCCGTTGATAAAATTTGTCATAGTGGTGTTCATTCTATTGGTACTATTTAAGTAATGATATATATTTGCGTTATGTTTCATTATCAAAACTTTCTCAATCATGACTCCATTAACAGGTTGAAAAACAAAATTTAATCCCTAGAAAAGAGTCTTTTACCATTAGCACTATCTCTATATGGCGTCTCGAAATAATTGAGGAAGTTGAATTGAGTCTCTTTTTAATTGCGATATAGAGAATTGTACCAATCTTTGATAATCTATATCATAAATTATTTTTTAATCCTGCATGGGATATTTTAATTAACGTGGGCTATATTGGCATGGGTTTTTGAGACCATTGGGATATCTTGGTATGGGATATTTTGTAATGAGGTATTTTCGTATGGGATATTTTGCCTTGTCACCTTTTTCTACGCTTTCAATTAAGTAAGCCCGCCGCAAAACGGAGAACAAATTTAAAGCCGTCTTCAATTAAAAACAAGCACCGCCGTCTCTTCGCCTGTGATTGAGTTTGCCATCAATTAGTAAATACCGAGTTGACTTAGTCCTCTGCACAGGGCGGGTCCAAAAGAAGTTGGTCAAAAGAATTGCTAACAATTAATTGATTCGATCCGAAATTAAATGATAGCGACGGTTGAATAATTGAAATAATTAATTTGAACATTAATTGGTTGCATCAAAACATTCTCTGATTTCGGGTGACGCAATTCATTTTGGACCACCCCTGAATCTGGTTTTGGATTTCATCAATTTTTTGCACATTTTCATTAACAGGTTCCGCAATTTCCTAAACAGAAATAAAAACGAAAAATTTGTTGTTTGAAAAGTGCGTTTCATGAGTAATTTAATCCGTTAAACAGTTGAATTTCTCAGCACCAAATTATTTAACACGTTAGCGTGAAGGAATTACGAATAATAAGGAGCTTTTAAAAATAACTAAAAGACTAGATTATTAAATGTTGCTTTCTGAGAATAGCAAACTAGACTAAGACGAGTTATATTTTTTGGTAAACTTATTTATTTGGTTCTGAAACTGGGTTTTTTTGCTTCGAAATTGATATGAAGAAATTGATGTTTAGACAAACACTTGAGTTGTTAAAAAACGCTCTTAGTTCTTCAAATGTTCACGGTTTTGTGTTAGGTGAGAACTTGGGTCACCCTAATCAACTTCCGACAGAGAAAGACTTTATCATTAAGTCACTGATTCCGATCTAAATGTTCCAAAATTTCATAAATAAATGAATAATCGAAATTTTCAAAAAAAAAAGTTTCGACGGAAATCCAGAAAGTTTCCAACTTGTGCCGTTGCCGCAACATAAACCTGAGATATCACTAGATTAGAAAGGTTTTTAATAAATTTTACCAATTGAGTATAAAATTTCCCGGAGTTTCTTTGTCTCCAGTGGTGTTTTCGGGGCATCAAAACTATACTTTCAAACTAAAACTAAAAATGATTTGATATGTCTTCCAAAATGTTTAAATTTGCGTGAAAAAAAACATCGAAATCAATTGTAAACAGGGGCGGATTTAGGGTTTTCTCGAGGGGGGGGGTGGATTTTTTTCTAGGCCAACCAAATTGATTTTCCGAGCTCTCCCAAAGCACTAAAAGCACGAGCTCTCCCAAAGCTCTCCTTGTTTTGGCTTAGTTTTCTGTGCCCCTTTTTAGGCGCTCAAAGGCGTTTTTAGGCACTTTTTGGGAAACTTTGACCAAAAAATCGCGTTTTTTTCTGCGCGCGCTCCCCCCTCATAATTAGTATAAATTGGTCCCCTAAATCCGCCCCTGATTGTAAAGAACATAAAAAATATTCGAGTTTTAGTGTTCAGCAAGCTGTGATTCTGCAGTTTTCCAGCCTGGCGTTTGGGAATTTGCTTTCACTTTTTTGATTTTTGAATAGTGACAGATACCCAAGCGCGGATCTAGGAACTTCTTGACGGAGGGGGGATTTTAAAAAGTTTTTGAAAATTTTGTCGACCTTTTTTTTTAAGTCGACCAAATTGATTTTCTGAGCCCTCCCAAAGCACTATAAGGACCCTCATTTGAACAAGAAACATTTTAAGGTCAGTCAGCTAAACATGGATATCTCAAAATAGTACAAAGGGGGGACCCTTTGGGTTGGCAGGGGGTCGAATCCCTGAGGAAAATAAAAGGTCCCCCCCCCTAAGTCCGCTACTGGGTCGACCAATATGATTTTCCGAGTTCTCCTAAATCACTTTATAGATTCTGCAGATACCCGTTAAATTTAAGGTGACATTCAAAAGTTCTTGATTTGGCTTTGTTTTTATGAGAAAAGGGCAACAAGATTTTGTTCCGATCATTGAAAATGGGGAGGAACTTTGTATTTGGGTGTGTTTTAGTTTTTTCTTTCGTTTTACGTGCAAAATGAGGTACCACAAATAATCATCGGACTGGGTTGAATGATATATCAGAATAAAGCCCTTACAGTTGTGATTCGAACCACATAAAAAAAATTTGCCGTGTCGTGAAAAACTGCTTCGAAATTTTTCGTTTTTCGTCATATATCGAGCGAATAAAACGAGCGAGCAGTCTTCTTTTAACTGCTTAAAACTTATAAAAACATAATTTAAAACGTAAAAATTTAGTTTTACTTTAAGTAACGTTAGTTTACTTCGAGTAAATTATCAAAAATTCAAAAAACTGCAAAATTTGGAAAAAAACTTTTTTTTATTTTTCTAGTATTTTTTTCTGAAAAAATTGTTTATCAACTTGAATACGCCTAATCTCAAAGGTTTTGTTCAGCTCCTTTTATCACACCACGCCGAAAAAAAACTACAATAATTTGAAAAACCTTTGTTGTATTTTCTTAAGACTATGGTCCGAACATTCTGTACCACTTGCACAGTAACCGGCTATCCTTGTTAAATTATGTGGTCATCTCACCCAAGTCTTATGATTTTTTTGCAATTTGTTTCCAAAAGACATTAAATGCTTAAGCGTCAATTTTTTCATAATTTAATAAGGCCTCCTATCATGAAAATTACTGAACCTTTCTAAAACCTTGAAATTGTTAAACTTCAAATTGTTATAACTTTTTTAACACCAAGGAATCTTTTTCAGCAGTGCGTCCTATTGAAATGTGAAACCGAAGAGTATTAGGAGATATTAACTATCAATTGATAAACTTAAGTAACAGACGACAAAATTTGGATAATGTTCATTCGATCTTCTCCCCCTCCATGATTGTACAAAAAAATATTAGCCACTACTATGGGTGAACGTTTTACTAGAGAGCAATAAAGAAAACAAAGCCGCAAAATTCTACCGGGTACATATACGAGAGTTGAGTAAACAAAAAATGAATCTGTGCGAATTATGTACTTAGGGAACTTAATAAAAATTTTGCTACACTGTTACATAGAATCACCTAAAAATTGCCTTCAGGAGAGAATCGAGATATCAAAGATTCACAGAAAAGGGCAAGTAAGGACGAAACATTCGACTAATTTTGCTGCATGTTAAATATTTTTGCCTCTGTTGAATAACATTTGTTTGGGTCCTAGTGATTTCCGGAATTGTTGTACAGTCATATTTCTTGGGGATTTCAGTAGATCTGAAGGATGCTTAATTAGTCAAAAATCGAAAGCTAGAATGTATGGCGAAAATCAAATAAGATGCAACTTCAAATTAGAAAAACAAATTCAGGCTCAATTGATAAACTATTTGGCGTGTATTTTGATTGTTGTCTAATTTTTGTCCTCTTATAAAGGTAACCCACTCTAATTAATGTCTCATCTTACATGAACCGAGGTTGCCTAAAGTCAGCGTGATGAAATTTTGCAAGCATGCCATCACTTGATCAAATAACAAACATTCCATTATATGTCCAAAAACCCTCGTTTGGCCTTATTTTTGGTATAATTAGTAAGATTTGTTGAACCTTGTCAAATTCCTTCTTTGGTTTCATGAAAATTTTTGATTTCGGCACTCTAGTACTGCCCATTGCGGTTTTGATAAATATTTTTTGCCAATACGTCTTTGACAGCCGTTATTTTTAAATTCTAATCATTCGCATGAATCGATCCCTTAGCGATTGCTACTTAAGATATTCTTTTTTTTTTTAAATTTTTTCATTTGTTTTATCTTTAGGGTCATTAATTGAAATGAAGTGAAACAGTTGGAAACTCTATCAAAAAAGACATCATCAACTCGGTTCAAATTGCTTTCGCAGCTATTTTCTCTTATTAGAAATAATTTTTAATTTTCTTTCCCTGTTATCATTAATTTCAAAAATCTTGTTTATTTCCAATCCTTTTTTGGACGTAAATGTTTATATTGGCCCCCTACATAGCTCTTTATTAATAAATTTTTTTGAACGTCACCAAATGGGCAATCAGCATAGCGTCGGCCGAAGTATGGCCTTATAAGCTGACAAGGGATAGCCTTGATTTCGAATCAAAAAAGTGCTTTTATCAACAACGCATTTGAGATTTTCTTTTCTCATGCTAAATTACGGGGTGAAGTGGACCTCGAAATGAAAAAGAAAAAAAATCTAAGAATCAACGAAATCAACCGCAATCAACGGAACAACATAAAAACTGTGCAGTGAATAACCGTGTTGTGCCCCTGGTTAATATGATTGGCACAGATTTCGTCCTACTACAGATTTCTTCCTATTTACGTAATTAACAGATTTCGTCCCGTATCCAACATCCTATCATCCCACATCCAAATTTGTGGGACGAAATCTGCGTACGCTTTGAAATGGGACGAAATCTGTTGAGATTAAAATGGGACGAGATCTGTCATGGGACGAAATCTTTCACAGCCTTCTTGCAATTTTTTTGGTTACCTTTCTGGGCTGGGTAATGTTGCCTCATCGGATCATGGCGGGTCTCGGACATCCGACCTTTTTTGAGAGGTGGGTACATAAACATTTTACGATCGCCCTCCTAACCGAACCAGACTAGCAATTGCTTTAGCACATTATTGTATTAATTTGGTTGCATTTGAATAAAAATACCTAGAGAAAAGCCAGGCAACTTTTTTTCAATATTCTGGAACTTGAGTAGATAGTCGCTCGTAAAACGCTTTTTCTTCTGAAAAAGATTTCAATTTAGTATTTATCGAATCGAGCTGCAATGATAACGAATCCTTCATTAAAAGCTTTTTGAGTTGACCAGCGCCATCTATTATCTGTACCAGTCTCAATCTAAATTCACTCTAAAACCTTTTAAAATGTTGAATATATTTAAAACGAAATGATTCAGAGTGAAACAAAATGCTTATTTAAAAGGACTTAAACGGCGGATTTGCATCGAAAAACTAATATTGAACATTATGTCGGCTCAATGACTTTAAAAAACAATGATTGATTGATAACGATGATAATGATAGCAGATCAACAAACCTGCTGGGGCGTCACAAGGAAGATTTAGAGTTGGAAAGAAGCATTGAGGAACCTCTTTGTTCCGATCATTTTAAAAATGGGGATGAACTTTGTATTCGTGTATTTTAGTTTTTGCTTTTTTTTCCACGCAAAAACAGCTCCAAAAAATAATCATCGGAGAGAGTTGAGTGATTTATCATTTAAAAACTCTGGCAAATGTTATTCGAATGACATTAAAAAACTTCGAAAAGTTTTACCGGTGTCGAGAAAAACCGGTTTCAAATTTTTGTTTTTGCGTCTAAATTCGAGCAAATAAAGCTAGCGAGCACGCCTAATTTAGGTATGCTTAATTTTCATTTTACTCGACTAAAATTAGTTTTAAGTTAAGGCCATTTTGGGAATCAAAAACATCAAAAGTTTAAAAAACTGTAAGCATTTTTAAAAGTTTTTTGTTTGTTTTTCTAGTCATTTTTCTTCAAAATCTGTTTTCCTGCCTGCCTATATTACTATGATTGTCGAATATGCCTTAATTACAATCTCAATCTTACGTTAGATCCTTTTGTCGCACCAGGCAGAAAAACTGCACTATTTTGAAGAAAAAAATTTTCTTGTAGTTTTTTAATGACTATGGTCGGTACATTCTGTTCTACTTGCACAGTAACCGGATATCTTTGTTTTTATTTGAATTTCCATCAGAAATGTTAAAATTAGTTAAAAGTAGTTTAAATTAATCTCAAGTTACATTTCAGCTAAACAAATTTCAATTTGTCACAGAATTTTAGACTATATTAAAAAAATGAACATTAAAAACTTTTTCTAAAGCCGACGATGAACAATTTTTCAAGAAATCGATCGTGGCGAGGATTTGTGGAAGTTGCACAAAACTTGGAGACAACTCGAGCATCGGCTTGCAGTATCATTGAATTTGGACAAATATGGACACTTCCAATGAGACGTTTATCCAAAAAATTGAAAAAAGCATCAAAATGTTTGTAATAGAAAAGTTGACAAAAAAAACACTGGCCATCGACACTTTTAGTGCTTTTTCACGACCCATTACTTACCGTAAAAGTTTTCTAGAGGCGCTAAAATATACAGTTTTCAAATTCTGAGTTGAGCGCGCGCCCAGAAAACTCAAATTTTTGGTCAAAACCTTTCAAAAAGTGCCCAAAATTAAATTTTCTCAAAAATCGAGAAAACCCTATATCCACCCTTGCCTCAACGTTTTTCGAAATTACACATACAAGGATAGCCTTATTCATTCAGGGTACTTTTTTCTGTGTTAGTAATTTGAGTTTTCTAATCAACACTTTTTGAGCTGAGTTCAATTATCCGACTCTAGAAGAAAGTAACGGAATATTTGTGGACGGGTGGATGTTTTATCCACGCAAATGTCAATTTTTTAATGGGCCATTTTTGACGGATTTTTTGAAATTCATCTGAGAAATAAATTGATGTCCCGAGCTCAAACTAAAAAATACTGCATCTGTAACTTTGCTTGTAAAATTATGGGGGTTTGCATTTTTTTCATTTGGTATATTTACGCGCGATATATGGTATGCTATCAACACGTAAGCCGAGTTTTAATCTGTCTTAGAAATCGTTCCTAATTAATTTGGGGCTTGTTATTTGGTCTATTTATTACCTTACCTGGCTACGCTGCGACAGATATAATTTTGTACTTTAAATATCTTATGGGAAGAAGATTTTCAAAAATTATTATTTTTTCATTTTCATCTTTCTTTTTCATTTTCATTTTTTATATAGCGAATCTTACTCCATAGACTTTAAAAAGCAGTAGGACTTTTCAGGGCTTTAACATAATACTAGCAGTTTTGTTGAATTTTGGCTTCAACAAAATCACCTTTAGAAATACTGAAAACATTTTGGAAATAATGTATTTGCCCAAAAGTTATATCGATTTTTGAACGAACGCGCTGAGAATTGCTTTAAAATAAACTTAGCACTAAGGTTAACAATACAGCTCAAATTAAGGCGATGTCCTGAATTTTCCGACTGCCTTTTTATGTCTACATAGTAATGCCCGCCTCAAAATATGGTAGAAATTTTCATTAGAAAAAATAACAATTTAAGAACTTAAAAAAAATTGAAAAAAATAATTCCTAGTGCTATGTTAAGTGAAAATGAGATATTTTGCATAAAGCAAACCATTGAAAATACTAAATGGTTTTCCTCTATTTAATTTTGAACAATTTATAGTAAAAAAAAATACGCGTTAATAGTAAGAATTGGCTCGCGTGTAAATTGTCCAAAAGTGGCCGTTTGCAACCTTTAAACATACAAAAATTAAGCAAACTGATCAGAGGTGAAAAAAAGTTTTAACTTGAGATCAAAACAGCAAAACCTTTTGAATTATATTTACAAAAAATCCGTCAAAAATTGCTTGTTGAAGAATTAAAAATGGTAGAAAAAACTATAGAAGGTCAGAAATAAAAAGCCTTTACATGTGACACTTTAAAAAAAATTCACCTAGTTTTCAGATTTAATTTACAAAATTTTCTTCAAACAAAGCGAAATTATGTTTTGAACAATGCGTTTTGTGTTAACTTTTGAGCGCGGTCACAAAATGAAAGAGCATATGTTGCACCAAAGGTTATTTTTAGAAAGTACCCA